TTTGAATTCAAAGTATTTGAAAATGATGATGACAATGATGGAATAAAAGAAAAATCATTTACTATATTTAAAGAATTCAATGCAAATTCCAACTATTCAAATCATTGGTATCGTTGTGCAGACAATGATGCTGATAAACATAAAATATTTGACCCTTTCAAAAAACATGATGATGTTAGCAATTCAAAAATTTCACTGTTAATAGATAATAAGGAAAAATTGGTTGATATTGATCAAATTATACCAATAGTAAATAATAAGGAACAATGGGTTGATAGAAAAAATTATGAAAAAACATCTGCTTTTATTGATGAAAATCAATCATTACAATTAATTATTGGTTTAACTACTGTTCAAATATGGCGTAAAGTTGATGATGAATCTCCAATTCTTGAATATATTTGGATGCTTAAACATGTTGAAAAAGAAAAAAATAAAAATGACAATGATGTGGAAAATGAAAATCATGATGGTAATGAACATTTAAAAATAAAGAATTTGAGAGTTGGTTGTAGAAAATTTGAACTAGAGGTTACTTGGGGTTTAGATAATGGGAGCAGCAAAAAAATCCAATGGCCTTATCCAGATCAATATGTAACACCTATAAGACATGCTTGTAAGGCTCTTGAGTATCTTAATTTTAAAAAAGATTTATTAGTAAGCTATAAAAAACAACGTGGATTTGAAGAAATGTATGAATATATTGTAAAAATTATTTTGAAATTCATTAGAGACAAACCTGAAATATGGAGACTTATGGATACTCGTTATGAGGTTATGTCAAACCTTATCAATGGTGGAGTTAATTCTCTTATAAAGTATATTTTATTTGGTAAAGATCAAATTGGAGACAATAGTATTATTCAAAATACAACCAAAAAAACATCCTATAATACTTCTAATCACTTGCATTTACATTTACCAAGAGCTAAACAATGGCAAAAAAATAAAAATGAAAATGAAGATGAAGATGAAGATGAAGATGGAAATGGAAATGGAAATATTCAAAATAATGCATTAGTATTAGCAATCAATTATTCTAAAAAAAAAGACAAATTAATTGTAGGCTATTTATTAGAATATTATTCCAACAATGCTATTGAACATATTGGATGGATGATCACTGTTTCAACAACTTTACCTTTACTTTTCCAATCTCATTTAGAAGATTATGTGTATGATTTTTTTTACAAAAAAAGTTTTGCTGGTAATAACATAGGAATAAATTTTAAACTTTCTTTAGATAAAGAATTGGCTAGTAATAGCATAGGAATAAATTCTAAACTTAAAGAAGATACTGAAAGCAACCTCTTGCAAAGTAGTGTAGAGAAAATCCCTTGCTTTAAAAAAAATGCTTTTGGAAATCAAAATAGAGCATCACCCAACCTGTGTGTAGTACCACTTCCAAATTTCACAGTTAATAAGATTGAAAAGAAAAATGTTCAAAAAAATGTTGTTATAACTTGTCTCAGACGCCTTATACTTCCTCATAAGTATATTGATGGTGAAACAAAACTTAGTCCATTTATTCAAATGATTGAATTGGATGAAAAAGGTTTAATTTTTGATAATCCAGCAATAGAGGCTTTAATAAATTTCTGTTGGAAACCTGCAAAAATATATTTATTACTGCATTTTTTTATGTTTATACAATATGCAGTTTGTTATGGTATATTAGTTTGGGCTTACACAACACATCAAAACAATTCAAATAATCTTCGAAACTTTTTAATTTTAGTTATGGGTTATTTTTATTTTACAGGATATCGTCTTTTGTCAACTGAATTCACACAATTAAGATATTATAAATCTGGAAAATATTTTTCTAATAAATACAACATATTGGATATTATTGCTATTATTGTACCCTTAATAGTTGAAACAACTATAGTGCAGGGCATCTATAATGGTCAATGATTATCACATGATTTTAAAAGCTTATAACTCCTTATTACAGTCAGGATTATTACCAAAGTTGGAAATCGAATCTAGA